AAATTATAAGCTTTCTAGTGAAGGAAATGGATTTTCAAAATATCTCTTAGTTTTTGAGATATTAATATTTAAACACAATAAGACATTTTCTGATTTTTCGGGTTAAGCAACTATTTTCAGTCATTTTCAAAATATCATAACAAATCGAGATGTCAACAAATCATTATGAAATTATCAGTATTTGTTATACAAATCATAAGCTTTCCAATGAAAGAATCTAATTTTTGAAATATCTTTTAGTTCTTGAGATATTAATTGTTAAACACAATAAAACATTTACTCATTTTTCGGGTTAAACAAACAACTTGCTCTCATCTTCAAGAAATCATAAAAAATTGGAATTTTAATAAATCAGTATGAAATTATCTGCATTTGTTACATAAATTATAAGCTTTCTAGTGCAGGAAATGGATTTTCAAAATATCTCTGCGTTTTTAAGATATTAATATTTAAACACAATAAGACATACTCCGATTTTTCGGGTTAAGCAACTATTTTCAGTCATTTTCAAAATATCATAACTAATCGAGATGTCAATAAATCATTATGAAATTATCAGTATTTGTTATACAAATCATAAACTTTCCAATAAAAGAATCTAATTTTTGAAATTTCTTTTAGTTCTTGAGATATTAATTGTTAAATACAATAAAACATTTACTCATTTTTCGGGTTAAACAAAGAACTTGCTCCCATCTTCAAGAAATCATAAAAAATTGGAATTTTAATAAATAAGTATGAAATTATCTGCATTTGTTATACAAATTATAAGCTTTCTAGTGCAAGAAATGGATTTTCAAAATATCTGTTCGTTTTTGAGATATTAATATTTAAACACAATAAGACATTTTCAGNGAAGTGGAGTTATTAAAAAACACTTTTTCACAGAAAGTGATTGTTTTTTAACAATTAGAATTTCTTTTGCCAAAAAAGATCTAACAGATAAACGCGCGAGTTATTAAAAACTTTTTCCAAGAATATTATTGTTTGTTGTATTTAAAAAATAATAATATTTATGTCAGTGAATTTAATGTTTATACTTAGTGCCTGGAACAGTAAAAATACCTCTTTATTAAAAAAAACTGTTCGTAATAATGTTTCAACAATACGGTGAAAATGGCAAAAATGAAATTTTGCACGATTGTCGTAAATTAACGATATCCCCGGTAAAATACGTTCGACCATGGTGTCCAATGCTTCGAAATTTAGAGAATTAAATGTTCTACAGGATAGAATAGCTAACTTTTTTGTTCATATATAATTCTTTTTCGTTACGGTGGGATTAAGTGATAAAAAATGGGAAAAATGCCAAAAAATTTGATTTTGTTGAGTTGTTTTAGGTTGCAGTAAAATAACGGAGTGTCCGATTTATGCCATCAATACCTCAAAATGTTCGTCTGAATCTCTACTTTCATGTCCATATAGCTACAGAAGCACACTATGCAAAATAAAAAATATACTGAACATGAACCGTTACTGTTTTTTAATTTACGATTTTCCACATTTTTGGGTATATCTCGAACTGGACGTGATGGAGAAAAACTGAAGACAGTTTAAGAATCAGCACAACATTCTACGTTATAAAAAATACACAAATATCACAGTCTTCCAGAGTTTTCTTGTATACTAGTGTAATTTGTATACTGACAATAAATTTTGTAAACTACATCATTAATGATGTGTTGATGGTTATAAGTTATGACACTTAAACCTAATAAAATTAGAAAATAATTTTGATAATAAATTTAATGTAGGATAAATGGTGTGTGTGGTATTAGTTTAATAATAGGGTGTATGTTCTGTTATGTTCCATGGTAAAGCTTGGAAAGATTAAATTGAATTAAATTGTAAATTTACCCCCTGGTGGCGTTTCACTTAAAGCTCAGGCAACTATTTTCAAGCTCATTTTACTAAAAGTTAATATCCAGGCTTGGAGATTCACTAATCTGAATTCCCCAAACCGTAACTAATACGTAATACGCAACTGGAGTAACGTTAAGTGGTGACCATTTTACGTTTTATTCTCGTCCCATTCCGACAGGGAAAGTTCGCGCCGGTGCTATTTAGGAATTAATTTTCTACGTTGAAATTAGTAAGCTTATACCAGTGTAATTCCAAGCCTTGCCGGCGCGTAGAGGTAATGCGCTCTCTAATTTATACGCGCGGATGCGGACCTAACGAAAGCTCCCTGCCAGTGGCGTCGCCGCAGTTGGAGTCATTTCAACTCATAGGCGTCGGTTTGTTGCAGGGGGGCGTTTCAAAACTTTACAGCCGACGGTTACGGTGACCGTATAATCTTAATTAGAAGCCCATACGGGACGGTAACGTGCAGCTTTGTCGGTTAGGAGAACATTCAGGTGTACGGTTCCGAGCCCTATTAACGGCCAGCGAGACAATACGGACAATTTGCGCGGACCCCGGGTTTTGTAAATAGCTCTCGGAAGTTAACGATTGCGTTTCCGGTTGGAACGAGCCACGGAGGCCCTTTAATTATGGCCGCCCCTGAAATATATAATTAATGCAGCAATTAAAATTTGCGTGGATTCGGAATTAAACTTGCGATTGTTTGCTTTGGTAACCAAACGCGGCGAAATGTAAATGAATTTCGACGGATTTCAAACGTAATTATGTTCGCAATTAATTGCAGGTGGTCTTCGCGAACACAAAGTGTTTTCAGTCAATTAACATAAAGACGCATACTTCAATCAAAATTACAGTTTTATTATTTTCTCGTTGCGTTACGGTCTTCCAATAATGACGCGATCATTAAGTTCTTGTAAAGGTCTAAAATTATTTTTAAGGTACGGATTTATTTTGTAAAATTCCCTGAAACGTCCTATATTTTTATGCGAAATCGGAATTGGGGTTTCGTATACTATCCAAGTCACGCTTTCAGAGCAAGGCGGGGTGGTTAACGATCCTGGATAAGTTAGGTAACCATGATGAATCTCGGGGATTAATTTGGATATTGGAAATCTTTTTGTTTTTTTTGTAACGTTTGTTTTACCACCATAGATGTAGGCGAATGAATTTGTTAATGCGTCCATTGCTGAATTTTTTACGTCATCTGAAGCCTATCAATTTAATTAAGCTTATTAATTACGAGTCGTTATGATTAAAGCGATATCCTCACGTTGTAGAAATAAGCAACAACTACAAGACCATCACTTTTAGATAAAGCATCACCGATGTTGTTATATTTCGAATTAAAATGAACCGCGTGGGCTTCCATTGAGGCTTTGCGCCCGTCGACGCTGTGTTCGCATCCATCCTCATCTTCAGCGGCCCAATGAAAGTGAAGTTGCTCCAAAATGTATGTGTTGTGAAGTGGTCCACCGGTAAAATTAGGTCTATCCCCGCTTCCAAATCTTGGTTCCATTTGAACTAATTAAGAATAATTAGGGTTAATATTGATTGTAAAGTTGTTTCGATATAAAAGTACTTGTGTGGTAATTCTTGGTTAACTTGTAGAAATCAGGGATTGAATCGTACATGTTATTTCTTTCAAATTTGGGGAATTTTTCTTGAGCTTTGGCTTTCGCCGCGGATGGTAAACTTATCGGGGATTGTCTTTTACCACCACACTCTTTGTAAGTATTTACCCAACTTGCGGTACCTTAAAACGTTTTGTTAAAGAATACTAATCGCATTTATTTTATTATTATTACCCCCACTTGAATGATACAAATTTTCTTCCCCAATCGTTTCATATAAGAAAACTAAAAGCTTTAAATGATAATAACGAATAAAAAATTAAAAAGATAATTGAGTATACTTAATAATATTAATGAAATTATCCTATATATTAACGATGTTGATGTCCTCGCCATGTTGCAGAAGATTATAACTCCTTTTCATTAAAAAACTTATTTAAAATTAAGTGTATAAAATTGTAAAAGATTGTCTTGCTTTTCGTGACATGTTATTTGTAATAATTTTGACTTGTGACGACTTGTGTATTAAAAAAAAGTAATCGCCAAAAAAATATGTAATCCCCAGTACTAAATCCTGACTCAGTTAAAATCCTTTAAAGTAACTTATCAAAAGTTACACTCGGAAAACTGGAAGCGTCTTCCATCATCTGATTAAGCCCCATCCTATTAAACGTATTACATGAGAATTTCGCTGGGCGTATCTCATGGAAAAGTGAGCCGAAACCATAGATTAGACCGACGATAGAGTTGGGACAGTGCAAGCGCTTCCGGTGGCACACTCTCGCTGTCAGATAGCGCGTATTTATTAGGTGCGACTTGATATACCGTCGGTTCAGTCAAATCCCGCGATACCATTTAACGGGTTAAGCATATTTTTCAGGATTACATGGGCCATGAACGGAGATAACCTCCGTGTTTTTGCTGCTGTAGTAACACAAAATGGGATTGTACGGCCACATGAATAAAGATTAAATTAATAGATAAGCCAGAAAATGTGGGTTAAAATTTTTGGCGGAGGCGCCGGCTCCAACAAATTTTTCACGTATTTAATGAATCCTCTTTATTCGTTGAATATAAACTCGGCTAGTTTTGACGTTTTCGGATTTCCCATCGACAATTCCATAATGCATCTCGCCGGGCCAGTTAAAACTTCACGTCTGCCCGAGAAATCCAATTAACTGCCGGTATAACTTCTTGGGCCTTGCGCAAAGTGAGTGCGGAATTATGCCCGGAGCTCGGTAATCTCCGAAATTACGGACGCTCGATGCTAGGGCCCACTAGTTACAATTCATTAGTTCGGCTAACGGGCCGCAATATGAAAATAGCGGTGTTATTCATCGCCGCGGGCCAGTCGTTAATGTTACTGAAAAGATAATTACGTTCCCACTTAGCGCGATGTGCGGTTTTAATCCTCGCATAATTCCCCCACCGAAATCGCCTGAGAATGGGAGCGCGAAAATTGGATGGAGATAATCGAGTTTACACGCGTCCTGTAATTTAAAAAGGAACATCAACGACTCGGAAAAAAAGACTCGTAATTTTACTAAGTCTTTTAAAATTGTTTTATTCATTAACACTGTTTAATCTTGATTAAAACCGCAAACACCATTTCATTCTTTTATTTCTATAAAAGTTATTAGGTATATGAATTGTGAAGTAGGTTATGAAAGCATTCGATACAACTTTATGTATAACCAAACATAGGTTGTTCTTATTGATGTTGGCAAGACAAATTTAAGACTGCAAATATATCAAAAATGTAAGACCAAAGAAGAAGCAATTCAGTTATATAGTAAAGACTAATTCTGAGCACTTCCGGTGTAGATCCCGCTTTTTCTGGGGCACGTTCTTCGTTAAATCAACTGGATCAGATTATTTAGTGAAACCGTTTAAACACAATAAAACGTTTATTCTTTTTTTGGTTTAATCAGATATTCAGTCATTTTCAGTACGAAATTATCTGCCTTTGTTATACAAATTATAAGCTTGCCAGTAAAGGAATTGAATTTTCAAAATATCTCCAGAGTTCTTGAGATTATAGTTCTTAAACATAATAAGGCATTTATCATTTTTTCAGTTAAGCAACTATTTTCAGTCATTTTCAAAAAATCATAATAAATTAGAATTTCAAAAAATTAGTATGAAATTATCAGCATTTGTTATACAAATTATAAGCTTTCCAATTAAAGAATTATATATTTTCAGTCATTTTCAAAAAATCATAACCAATCGAGATAATAAAACATTTACTCATTTTTCGGGTTAAACAAACAACTTGCTCTCATCTTCAAGAAATCATAAAAAATTGGAATTTTAATAAATCAATATGAAATTATCTGCATTTGTTACATAAATTATAAGCTTTCTAGTGCAGGAAATGGATTTTTAAAATATCTCTGCGTTTTTGAGATATTAATATTTAAACACAATAAGACATACTCCGATTTTTCGGGTTAAGCAACTATTTTCAGTCATTTTCAAAATATCATAACAAATCGAGATGTCAATAAATCATTATGAAATTATCAGTATTTGTTATACAAATCATAAGCTTTCCAATGAAAGGATCAAATTTTTGAAATACCTTGTAGTTCTTGAAATATGAATTGTTAAACACAATAAAACATTTTCTTATTTTTCGGGTTAAACAAACAAACTGCTCTCATCTTCAAGAAATCATAAAAAAAAGGAATTTTAATAAATCAGTATGAAATTACATGCATTTGTTATACAAATTATGAGCTTTCTAGTGCAGGAAATGAAGTTTCAAAATATCTCTTAGTTTTAGAGATATTAATATTTAAACACAATAAGACATTTTCAGATTTTTCGGGTTAAGCAACTATTTTCAGTCATTTTCAAAATATTATAATAAATCGAGATGTCAATAAATCATTATGAAATTATCAGTATTTGTTATACAAATTATAAGATATCCAATGAAAGAATCCAATTTTCGAAATATTTTTTAGTTCTTGAGATATTAATTGTTAAACACAATAAAACATTTTCTCATTTTTCGGGTTAAACAAACAAACTGCTCTCATCTTCAAGAAATCATAAAAAAAAAGGAATTTTAATAAATCAGTATGAAATTATCTGCATTTGTTACATAAATTATAAGCTTTCTAGTGCAGAAAATGGATTTTCAAAATATGTCTGCGTTTTTGAGATATTAATATTTAAACACAATAAGACATACTCCGATTTTTCGGGTTAAGCAACTATTTTCAGTCATTTTCAAAATATCATAACAAATCGAGATGTCAATAAATTATTATGAAATTATCAATATTTGCTATACAAATTATAAGCTTTCCAATGAAAGAATCTAATTTTCGAAATATCTTTTAGTTTTGGAGGTATTAATTGTTAAACACAATAAAACATTTACTCATTTTTCGGGATAAACAAAAAACTTGCTCTCCTCTTCAAGAAATCATAAAAAAAAAGGAATTTTAATAAATCAGTATGAAATTATATGCATTTATTATAAAAATTATAAGCTTTCTAGTGAAGGAAATGGATTTTCAAAATATCTCTTAGTTTTTGAGATATTAATATTTAAACACAATACAAAGAGACATTTACTCATATTTCGTTTTAAGGAACTACTTGCTCCAAACTTCAAAAAGTCATAATAAATAGGAATTATAATAAATCAGTGTAATATTAGCTTTCTAGTGAAGGAAATAGATTTTCAAAATATCTCCTAGTTTTTGAGATATTAATATTTAAACACAATAAGACATTTTCTGATTTTTATTTTCAGTCATTTTCAAAATATCATAACAAATCGAGTTGTCAACAAATCTTTATGAAATTATCAGTATTTGTTATACAAATCATAAGCTTTCCAATGAAAGAATCTAATTTTTGAAATATCTTTTAGTTCATGAGATATTAATTGTTAAACACAATAAAACATTTACTCATTTTTCGGGTTAAACAAACAACTTTGTCTCATCTTTAAGAAATCATCAAAAATTTAAATTTTAATAAATCAGTGTGAAATTATCTGCATTTGTTATACAAATTATAAGCTTTCTAGTGAAAGAAATTGATTTTCAAAATATCTCTTCGTTTTTGAGATATTAATATTTAAACACAAAGAGACGTTTACTAATTTTTCGTTTTAAACAACTACTTGCTCATCACAATAACTAGGAATTTTAATAAATCATTGTGAAATTATCAGCGTTTGTAATACGAATTATTGGCTTTTCAGTAAAAGAAACGGATTTTCAAAATATGGGTTAGTTTTTGAAATATTAATTTTTAAACATCAGAAGATATTTACTCATTTTTTGACGTTTAATCAAAACTACGTGATTACAGATTTAAAAATTGTTGCTATTATACAATAATCACAATAATCGCAAATATAATCTTTCAATGAAAACTAGAAAAGTGCACAATTTTTTTACAAACCTCGTTTTGAATAGGGAGAAAAAGTATCCTTCTAACCATTCGAATTTGAAAGCTCTATTAATGTCACCATTTCAAATTCGTTATTTATTATTACTGATTGATTCATCACTACAGTTTTATCACGACGTGTTAGGCTTGTCTGTAACATTTCAAGGAAAATTTTAAATATAAGTAAAATTTACAAAAATAATTCTTGTGGATGAATTTATTAACTTTAATGTTGCAATAGCTTGTACTAGAACTACTCGGCGTCTGAGAAATACTATATACCTTAACAGAATTCAACAACTAATTTCACTACGAGAATTACCCTGGACGAAATTGTTTGTTATGCACGGTAGCAGTGAAAAGGGGAATGAATTCCTTGCAAAGCTGGCAAATATTATTGTTGGAACATTAACAAGCTTAGAAATTCCAAACTGGTCTATGACGGCTAATTATTTATGTTGAGTTAAGTTCATATAGAGATGAAGGATTAAATTAGTTTCTTGCTTGATAAATTTACAAAAATATTAAAGGATTTTTTAGAAGTCACGAATTTTAACATTCACATACATTGTTAAAACTCTAGATGATATAAGAATGAACCAAATACTTTGGAAACTTCTCCACCGATATCATAATCATCCCAAGTTCAAAGTTCCGATAGCCATAATATCCGTTCCCAGAACTATCGGAAAAAGTAATAACCACTAACGAAACTTTTTAGTTTATCTCTATTAAAAGGAAAAGCTTAGATTTTCTTTACTTTTTATTTTATTTTATTTTAAACAACACGTTAATCTGTCAAATGAGCAACACGGTAAAGAAACCTTTCATATTGGAAATCGAAGAATTCAAGCCCAAACAATACACTCGCCGTATTGTCCATGTTTCAGCATTCCCGAAAATAAAGGAGTCCTCGAAACATAGTTGTTATCTCCCTTTAGCAACAAGCTACGTGTTCGGGTAAAAATCGAAAATATAGATAGCTGTCACCGTGTGGTGTACTGATGAAGAGTAATGGTAGTTCACGGGCGATTGTGGTTAACTCTTTTTGCAGTGATGCCGTATGGAGTTATACCTACCATTTTTTTATAAGTTGCACAGATATAAAGTTAGTTGGCAATATCGCCATACTGCTTTAAATGCATATAACTCATATCAACTAACATATAGAACCTAGTATTGATTTTTATCCGTGCACTAACATCTCACTGTGTAATTAATTTGTATTCCGAATATACCCCTAACTCTGAAATTGAAAATCTATGACGATCCACTGAAATTGCATGAAAATCTCTCACAAATCTGTGTATGACATATAACTTGTTTTGTAGCTCATCTTCGTTCCCAAGCAACCTCAGTGTAATAGATATACTAGAAAACCTCGAATATAGGAGATATTTCTGGTATTAAAGAATCTATAACTTTATTACATCTTTTTAGTCTAAAAGTTGTTTCAGCTATATATTGGTACTAGGTAACCTCTACCTGGGTGTATTCCTATTATAAAAGCATCTCTAGCATTATAATGACTTCAGGGTAGTCCTTATAGCTCTCTCTATAGTTCATTTTTGACATGTTGTATTCCTGCATTTTTTAGATGGTCCATAAACACTGTTATCTAACGCTTGCATTTTATGGCAGTTGATATGAAGGAAAATTCAGGAAACAAATGATGCAAACAATAATGCTTGACGAATTATACATAATGCTCTTGTTCTGTTAGCCAGAATGATTTCGTAGTCAAAAGGCATCAATTAGTAAACCATTCAAGGATTGATCTGTAAAAATTTGAAACGTGCACAAGAACAGAAAGAGAGAAGGAATATCAGTTAATGGCCCTAGGAACAAATGTTGCAAGAAGGGTTGATTTTTTTGTTCATGACCACCCCAACTTTAAATATGATCCAATATTATGTTTAAGAAGAACTTTTTTGCAATACACATTTTTGCTGGTAACTAAAAACATGTTTGGTGATGATTGGCAGTGTGTGGCATTTCTTTATAGTACGTGTCTGTACTGTCAAAGCATCTACAGCATTATAGAGATACCTAAGCAGTTCTAGCATCCGAGGTCGCTTGCAGCTTCATCCATACCAAATCAATAGCTGGATAGTTTATAAGGATGTATGACTTAATCTAGTCTTATGAACATATTGATAGAATCCTGGACAGATTTCAAGAATGTATGAAAAAAATAAGCGGAACTCGCTTGACCGAGGCGTTTAATTCATGCGAAACTAATAAAAAGCTACGGATACTTTGCAAAGATCTATGAGTTAATCAAGCTGAGGTTGCCAGCGACCAAGGCATTACATTAATACTACATAGTTGGAAAGCTGGACAGTTTTCAAGTATATTCAACGTAATCAAGACGAGATCGCTTGCGACCGGGGCGCTACATTGATCCCACCACGATGGAAAGCTAGATAGTTTTTAAGGAAGTATGACTTAAGTAGCAACGTTATAAAATTGGAACATAACCACTGGTCGCTATCTTATTATGGGCGCTTTTATCAATAAGCATAAGAAGCTTTTTGGTCACGTTTCATCCAACATAAAAATACAAGTTTACTAATCAAACGAAACTTTATGAAACTTGTGTTTAATTTAGTTGAAGATACATATCTTAAACAAAATTTGAAAAACTCATGACACTTTTTACATATATTTTGAGAACATTGGAAATAATTGCATGGAGTACATTTTTTTTGATAAGGACATGTGGAGCATGTGTTTCTTTTCAGGAATCTTTAGGAACCTTTATCATTACAGCCGCTCCTAAGTCTGTGAAATATTCTCGAATTGACAGAATACTAGGACGAATTTTGTTACTTTGGGAGTATTTTGTATTTTGCTTAGACGAAGTTAGACAAAGCAAGATCTTTCATAAGTAGCAGTTGAGTTAGTTGGGCATCATTGGCTATCTTCTAGATCTTCTTGGAAATCTACTCCAGCTTTGGTATTATTACAGTAAGCAATTATCTCCGATTTTTCAGAGGCTTCATTTACAGAGGCTTTTTCGATACATACAAAATTATGGTAATATTCTCAGTAAAATCATTGTCGAATCTACTTTTCTAGATCGTTGCTCAGGTAAAATGTGTACTTCACTTTTCTTTATGATCCCAACATAGGTAACCTCCATCTCTCAAAATATTGGTCAGCTCAATTAATAAAAACCAGTTGTCTTTCGAAATATTGCGATTGATATTGATTACAGATTGAATAGCCATTATAGAAATAATTATTTCTGGCATTTATAAGCGCCATTAATTTTAATCCATACTTAGCTGGGAAAGTTCACGCGCCTGTAGTAATTAACATCTCACCTATAGTAGCAACATTGCAAATCAATTTTTACTCAATACAGCTCTGAGTATGTCTCGCACTGAACTTTCCATTCTCAGATCTCAACCATAAAATATATTTCGTGGAATTGGTCTCTTTACGAAATCAACTCATTATATCAAAAATTAGTTAATTCGAAGTTATTATTCTCTGGAGCATCTCTAGTTTTTTTAAGATAACAGAGTGGTTGTAATATATAGTTTTGTGTAACATTTATAACTTTATAGATATGATAAAATAATTCTAGTTTAGGAATTCTATTATTCATTCATGAAAATAGTTGTTAACTATTAAAGTCGTTAATTTTTGATATCTGTCACTTAGTGAAAACATCCTAAATATTAACCCGTTTATTTTTATAAATTTAGAAACTATTTAATAACATATAATTTAGTTTTGTGCTTTTAACTGGCGCCTCCACCATAATTTCTGTTTACCAAATAAATACTTTAAACTAAAATAAACTTTACGTATAAATAACCAAGTACTTCGATAGCATTTCCAAACTTCCAATCTATTTAATAAATAACTAAATCTATTTGAAGCGAGTTTAATGGAATTCCCATCACAGCTCTGCCATACCAACAACACTAAAAGGTCGAAGTTAGAAGGTAAACCTAGTTCTAGGTGCGACTTGAAAGTCTAAGGTACGATCTCAGTTTATATCGGAGCAAGATTTAATGATGCGGTATACTTTAACGTCTCACTTTTGGGTCGTGTAACTATATTATTGGGTAAGTTTGTAAAGATATTGGGACCGTTTGATCGATGGTTGATTAAATAGTTTGACGAACGATTCTGTTTAATTTAAACAGTGAGCCGGGAGGCGAGAATTCTGCAAGTTTACAAGTCGACAAAAACTTTACTTTGACACCCTCGGGACTTACACAAAACAAACTGCCGCTCGTTAAGGACGCTCTTGTAAATAAGTACCTTACGGTAACAATTATTTAAATAGGCGGTCCTCCCAAACCGGTGATAAAAATTAAACTTCCTCGGATGTTTCCCCGTAGACCATCGCATTAAGACAACGGCGCGACGTAAAACTTCACCTTTAAAGCTCATCCGAGTATTACAGGGGCGATCCCTTTTCTTAATTTCATTCAAAAGACACTCTCGGAATTTTGTATCCGTATTTTTTCTTGTATTCTTTTTATTAGTTTTTTTTACGACGCCCGCGGTCTGTTCAGTAATTAAGACTGTTCCATGAAATCCAACTTGATCCTCTTCATCGTAATTTTTTTTTTCCGGTCTCGATGACAGGGACACGGCGGGAACCAATTAGGAAGGAACGTCTTTTAAAAAAATCACAACCCTTGAAATACAACACGATTTCTTTCCGCGATGGCTTAATTTTTCATTCGTAACTGGAACGGCTTTGAAGTCAGAGCCGTTGCGAATTGGAGAACTTTATTACTTGAGGCATTCCTTTAACGATCCTCAATTAAGCGTCAAAAAAAAAGGATAAATCGAGTTCATTCCTCGTTTAATACAATTTTGAAGACCAATCAAATGAGTTCAAGTGAAACTCAACGAGCGGAAATTATCGCATGCTTAAATTTAAGATAGAATCAAATTTTTGATTACTAAATTAATTTGATTTTTTTTTGTTTTAGCCCTCTTACTCGGTACTGGACTTGTGGTGTTCGCTTCAACTTTGTCTGAAACGATGTTGGAGGTTACGCAGTACCATAAAGAATCATCAACAGAACCTTTATATGAATACTATTATGGATGGTGCTTTTTCACGGCTGGTGCAGCTTTTATTATGACGAAAATGGCTGCTGTTTTTTCATTGAGTGGATACCTGAATAGATTTTCATCTGTCGACGAAATGGTACAGTAATATTTAATAATAATTGAAAACGTAGTTCCAATAATCCCTTTAATCCCGAGTAAATCTTGAAATAATTGTGAAAATGCTTTTTGTATTAACATTGTAAACGCATCCAAACGAAGGGGATTAAAATTTAATTCCATATTTTTCTCTACGTTCATATTCTCTATTTTAATCAATAAAAATAAATATGGTGAAATTAATAAAATATAAACTCTATGAATGATTAATTCCATATATTTTAAACAAAAATTAAAATTCAAATTGATGGAAATAATATAGAGAAAAATATTATCGAGAACGTTTTAAATTTCAAAGTGATGCTTTCGTCGTTCGTTTTATTCTCTGAATATCGGACGTTTCCAACGACATTTTCTCTGGTAGTTCAGCACTAAGCTTGTCAAGTTAAAAGGTATTTGCGACGCCGTCAGCATCGCTATTCGTATAGCTGCAGCTGTTTTACGGTCCACGCAAAGCAAACCCCATCGTCACACATAGTGTTGCAGTGTTTAAAATTCTATTTTCGCACTGCACGTGTCGTCGCTTTCCCATCAAAGGTCGCATTATTGGATACCTGTTGAAAGACGACTCTGTATCTGCAAACAACAACGAGAAATTGACTGAATTTTCCATTATAATTCTTTTCTGTTGACATTTGATTTCTTCTTCGTACTCGATACAATCGACAATAATCCGGAAGTGGCACTTTGGACAAAGCCTTGTTTTCCGCGAGTTCATTTGCTCAAGAAAATAGCCCAACTTCCGGCCGTGCATAGCGAGGATTACGGAAAATTGCGAAACACAAGTGGAAAGAAAAGTCCGGTCCGGAAAACTCTCGAAACTTTCAAATTGGCAGTTAATTACTGGCTCCGCGAGGACAGAGCCAAGATGTACAATAAAATTCTACAGTTTCTTTTTAACTTCTTTCCCATTATACCCACACCACTTTTACCTCTTTAAAGTGAAAATCTTACAATCAAAAAAGATAGTCAAACTTTTATAAAAATTTTCAAAGGTATTGAAAAATATCTTATAAATCGTGTTAAAAACTATTCAATTCTCTCTGTTTAGGACTAAAAAGCTCAGTGTATATAATACGCTTCGCGTGACGACGAAAACCATTTTAGTATTTAAGGGCTTTGTTTTATTGGTTATACGAACCTCTGCAGCTTCAAGGGATTCTAAGTCGTGCTTTAAATGTGATACTATGAGGACGGTTTGGATACATTTCCCAGCCAAATAACACTTTAACCAGACCATTTTCAGTTTTGTTTTGATGTAAATGAAAGTTTTTACTTTGCCGCTTCGTTCAATATTTTGAACTTGTTTGAATATCGTTTAAGAATATTCTGTTGGCTATAAGCACACAAAATCAAATTAAAATTATCTACAAAAACTTTAAAACCTCGATTCGACTTTATATCATGTATTTTTAACTATTTTGTACATAAAATGCTTAAATCGAATCAAGGATATATAACAAGATGTAGATTGTAACCATATTTTAATTAGAATGTGGAAATCTACTAAATATTAAAATTGATGATTTTCAACCCAGAATACATAAGCTATAACCAGATATGCTTTAATTGTAACCCTATTTCCGTAACAAAGATGAAAATCTCAAAATAAGAAAATTGCAATTTTCGTTATTAAAGTCAATTATATCTGAAAAACTAAAAGCGATGGAGAAAAATGTTTTATACATAAATGGTTCATAATGAACCCAGAATATATAATCCACAACCATATATAATTTAGTTGTAAGCATACTTTAGTTAGAAAGTGAATATCTAGAAAATATTAAAATTGTTGATTTTTGTTATTAAAATAAATTATAACTCAGAAACTAAAAGCGATGGAGAAAAACATTTTATAGGTAAATAGTTTATAATGAACCTAGAATACATAATCTATAATCATATATACTTTAGTTATAACCATATTTTAGTTAGAAACTGAATATCAACAGAATGTTAAGTTTGTTGATATTGGTTACTAAAAACAAGCATAGCTCAAAAACTAACAGCGAAGCAAGAAAATATTTTATACAAAAATTATTCATAATGAATCCAGAATGCATAATCCATAACCATATATACTTTATTTGTAACCATATTGTAGTTAGTAAGTGGATATTTACAAAATATTAAAATTGATGATTTTCATTAATAAATTTATTAATAACTCAAAAAGTAATAGCGAAACAGAAACATATTGTATACATAAATTGTTCATAATGAACCAAGAATACATAATCCATAACCATATATACTTTTGTTGTAACCATATTTAACTTAGAAAGTGGATATCTAAAAAATATTAATATGGTTCATTTTCACTACTAAAATCAAACATAACTCAAAAACTAAAAGCGATGAAGAAAAATATTTTACACATAAATGGTTCATAATGAACACAGAATATATAATCCACAACCATATATACTTTAGTTGTTATCATACTTTAGTTAGAAAGTGAATACCTACAAAATATTAAAATTGTCGATTTTTGTTACTAAAATCAGACATAACTCAGAAACTAAAAGCGATGGAGAAAAATATTTTATAGGTAAATAGTTTATAATGAACCTAGAATACATAATCTATAATCATATATACTTTAGTTATAACCATATTTTAGTTAGAAACTGAATATCAACAGAATGTTAAGTTTGTTGATATTGGTTACTAAAAACAAGCATAGCTCAAAAACTAACAGCGAAGCAAGAAAATATTTTATACAAAAATTATTCATAATGAATCCAGAATGCATAATCCATAACCATATATACTTTATTTGTAACCATATTGTAGTTAGTAAGTGGATATTTACAAAATATTAAAATTGATGATTTTCATTAATAAATTTATTAATAACTCAAAAAGTAATAGCGAAACAGAAACATATTGTATACATAAATTGTTCATAATGAACCAAGAATACATAATCCATAACCATATATACTTTAGTTGTAACCATATTTAACTTAGAAAGTGGATATCTAAAAAATATTAATATGGTTCATTTTCACTACTAAAATCAAACATAACTCAAAAACTAAAAGAGATAGAGAAAATCATTTTATACATAAATAGTTTATAATGAACCCAGAATACATAATCCATAACCATATATACTTTAGTTGTAATCATATTTTAGTTACAAAGTGGTATCTAGAAAATATTAATATTGTTGATTTTCACAACAAAAATGAAACATAACTAAAAAACTAAAAGCGATGGAGAAAAACATTTTATAGATAAATAGTTTATAATGAACCTAGAATACATAATCTATAATCATATATACTTTAGTTATAACCATATTTAGTAATATCAACAAACTGTTAAAATTGTTGATATTCGTTACTAAAAACAAGCATAGCTCAAAAACTAACAGCGAAGCAAAAAAATATTTTATACAAAAATTATTCATAATGAATCCAGAATGCATAATCCATAACCATATATACTTTATTTGTAACCATATTGTAGTTAGTAAGTAGATATTTACAAAATATTAAAATTGATGATTTTCATTAATAAAGTTATTAATAACTCAAAAAGTAATAGCGAAACAGAAAAATATTTTATACATAAATTGTTCATAATGAACCAAGAATACATAATCCATAACCATATACACTTTAGTTGTAATCATATTTTAGTTACAAAGTGGATATCTAAAAAATATTAATATTGTTGATTTTCACTACAAAAATCAAATATAACTCAAAAGCGATGGAGAAAAATGTTTTATACATAAATAATTTATAATGAACCCAGAATACATAATTCATAACCATATATACTTTAGAAAGTGAATATCAACAAAATGTTAAAATAATTGACTTTCGTTACTAAAAACAAGCATAGCTCAAAAACTTGTTTTGATGATACTTCCTGATAGACCACTTAAGAGATAACATGAAAGGTAGATATCTGCATGTAAAGAAGCTTAATATTTTATAATAGAAAATACAAGACTTTGTTGTAATAGAACAAGAAGACATCACTTCTTGTTTTGTTTTAAACTTTTCAGTCATTTATTTTCTTTTATATGGTTTCTATTTAAGATCTAAATAAATANTGTAATCATATTTTAGTTACAAAGTGGATATCTAAAAAATATTAATATTGTTGATTTTCACTACAAAAATCAAATATAACTCAAAAACTAAAAGCAATTGAGAAAAATATTTTATACATAAATAATTTATAATGAACCCAGATTATATAATCCATGACCATATATACTTTAGTTGTAACCATATTTTAGTTAGAAAGTGAATATCAACAGAATGTTAAAATTGTTGATATTGGTTACTAAAAACAAGCATAGCTCAAAAACTTGTTTTGATGATATTTCCTGATAAGAGATAACATGAAAGGTAAATATCTGCATGTAAAGAAGCTTAATGTTTTATAATAGAAAATACAAGACTTTGTCTTAATAGAACAAGAAGACATCACTTCTTGTTTTGTTTTAAACTTTTCACTCATTTATTTTCTCTTATATAGTTTCTATTTAAGATCTAAATAAATAAGTATATATTATTATTTTATAGCGAACACAGTTAAAAAGAAAATATCCACATCTTTGTTTTCAACAGGAGGATAGAGATGGAGAAAAGAAAGGTAAAGCGTCTCACTGAAAAAGTCAAGGAGCGTGCTCGCTTTGGGCAAAGTTTCCGGTACAGAACTTTGCTCTCACTGGCTGTGGCACATTCAACTCTTTAATATTTATAACAATAGCTCGAATACATGCAATTTTTATCTCATCAGTAATGGTAAAAGAGGGGAAAAATCCTAAAGTCTTTAACCATTACTATAAAATCATTCCGTAGCATTCATCGTATTTAACATTAGTTAAAGCTTTAATTACGTTTTGCGGGTAAACAAAACTGTGACATAAAAGCTTATGCGCGCTAATAGCTCGTCCAACTAAACGCATTTGAATAATTAAATTGTCTTCAATTAAGTTTACCCGTCACTCTG